TCGAACTCTCAACCTCACGATTAACAGTCGTACGCGCTAACCAATTGCGCCACCAAGACGTACTTGTTGCGCCATGCAAAGATCAAGCCACCAGAATCCTAAGACAAAGAAGACAAGTGGAATGTCTCCTTACTGCTTAGCTTTAATACCGTTGTTCCTGGATGGAGGCCCGCCGAGACCTGCTGCGGAGGTGGCGCGGATTGGGGGAGATATGATCGATTGCACGAGAGGGATTAAAAAAGGACAGTCTGAGAAAAGTGAGCTGTTATGTCTGCGCCGAAAGACGCAAGACAATGACGCAGGATGGACTGCTTGGGCGGTTGGAAGTCAAACTCTGGTAAATCTTTTCGAGCTTGAGTTTGGTGTCGAGTTACGGAAGTTGCTGTAGCTATTGCATGGCCAACTACTGGCGTATATATAGCTTGCTTTCGTCGATCTGAATGCCCCCAGATCGGATTTTATGCCCAACTCTCCCATCACTATTCGACGGAACCTGAATCTTTAACCCAACAAATATATTGAATAACGACGCTGATCAAGCTCTCCCCAAGGAGCTCTCTCTTTCTGAGACGCTGTCAATTCTCTGGAGCTCCCGCAAGTCACCACTTCAGCATTCATTAGCTAAAATATCTATACTTTGCCAGGGTAACATACCTACCGCAACCAGCAAGATTAACATAGAAGGTATCATGTAAAGAAGCGAGATGGGGAATTCCATCCTGTGATAGAACTGTCTATACTGATATCACGGCTCCCGAAGATGAGTATGTTGATAAGAGGCTTTGAAAGGCTCCACACACACACACACACACACACACACACAAAATTGCTTCTGAAGCTGATCGATGTCTCGGGACCTACATCATCAGATCTGGGAATGTCAATGGCAAAGCGACTGCTATCTCAGAGAGCTCTTGGTCATTATCATATACTTCATAAACTTATATCTATCATCCGCCCGGCCTGCCGAGTCCACAGCGTAGCATGTTGACGTGCACAGGGGAAATCTACTTGTTGCGCGCGACCACGGCCTGAATTGCATAATGGCTTTCGTTGCGACATCACTGGGCAGCGGCTGCGTAGTTTCATGAGCAATGCACCTTCAGGGAAACATACAACATATAAAGTATCGTGCTTCCTTGGTGGAGCAGATGGTGTTTCTTTTTGCAATGAATTTGCAATGAAGTAAGGTTCAATTATTACTAGTAGAGGTCGGAACAAGCTGAGCTAAACCTCACCCTGCTCCACTGTGGGTCGCGTAGATTAGATTAAGCTCATGCACGGGCTAAATCGGCGGGATACAATAATCTCTAGTTGATTTACGAATTCTATAACTTGACTGATAAAATCATGGCTTTTTGTCGAGTTTCCATATTTGTTTGTATGTTATTTTTACTTTTTTCCCCTGTATTTCCATAATCCACGGTGATACAGAATATCCATACATGCCCGCTCCGGAAATGCCGCTTCGAAGCAGCCGTCTGTCTTCAGCTTGTATCGCGATCGAACTTGACGAAGGGTGCGGGGTATATTTTCTTCGTGGGACCACGCTTCTTCTCCTTGCATGTAGTATTTAGAGAGCAGAAATCACCCATGTATAGCTCTGTGGTACGGCTTTGGACATGTTAGCTTTTGGTGGAAAAGCTGTTGACTTTGGGTTTGATTAATCAAAGTGATAGCAGAAGATGGTCTTGAGGAGGCATCTGCATTGAGCAAGAGGAAGCTTGAGATGGGGCTTCCTGCATCCGTATTAAAACACTCGATAGAGCTGTTGAAGCGGATTTATTGGTAGGGCAGCCTCAGTCTGATTCATGTGACAAAAAGACGCCCACAACTGTGCTTGCTCCACAGTCAACGACGATAACCAGGCTTGGCAGCCCGCAATTGTCGTTTGTGACCACTTGTCTCTTCCTCACTGATGTCTCACATGCCATAACGCTCGGGCTAATGATCGAGTTCGAACAGTCAAGCTAAAGAGAACAGACTTTCCATTGTGAAAGAACCTGTCGACGATGCACTAGAAGAACAGAATCATACTTTCCTTTTGTCGTTGCTGCCCTATCTCTTCCGGTCATGGTAGCATGATCTTTGCTCTACTGATGAAGGCTTTCGAGGCTCGGTAGACGCAGCCAAATCAACGTTGTCGTCTTTGGCATGCACCACAGAGGACGTGGCTGGTAGACTTTGATACCGAAGCGCGCCACACAGGGGCTGGACCCATGCTTTCAGGGTGGTGCTTTAACTGGTCCCGCACCAGTAGGCTGTTTCAGGTTCATTGTTGAACCTCCTTCAAGCACAACACTGAGGCGGCGATCTGGGCGACGAAGCTCACCGCGGAAGATCTCTGTGAAATGGCGTCAGAAAATCGTCCGCGGGATATTGTACATAATCGGTGCCTTGGATGCAGACACCGCCGCCCGGCTCATCACCGCACTTCTGTACCCTTCCAGCCCCGACTTCCCCGAAGGCCTGGATCATTTTGAGGAGGCATTCTCGGAACGTATTTTTAGTTATGTTTGCGGTATGTCCGACGATGAGAAACGAGCTCGATGGAGTGATCTCATGTACGCATTAAACTAGATTCCACAATTTGAAGCAAGAGATTGGTATGAGATGAAATGGGGATACAGACAGATTTACCCGCGCTGACAATGTGTATGCGAGACAATTACTTTGCCCCACTAGGTCAAGTTGATTCTGATCCATCCTCCAAATGTTGTGGACGACTCCATCTGCCGCAGGACCCCCAGTGTCCCGAAAACGAACTTCCTAAAAAAGGGACAGAGCGGTTCCAAAGAGTTGATCGAGGTTTGGAGTAACTTGAACTCCTTTATGGCCTGAATGCTCGGACGGAGCTTGCACCCATGGATGAGCTTCGGGATGTGGATAATACGTGTTGCACTCGAATGTCCCCACGAGGCGAGAAAAAAAAAATTTAAGAATTAACCAAGACTTGATCGAATATCATCTTCGTGTAGTGCGTGAATGGATACTTCATGCAGGCGCTGAGATGTATAACCGGTGATACGAAGGCGATGACGATGGCAGGACCCATTTTGCAGGGCCTCTCTATCAGGGCAAGCCGGCTCTCACTGCGGAGCGGTGGAACCTCTGGAAAGAACGTATCATAGAGCTGGGGAAATTCGCCTCTGATGAGTTTCAGAAAACCGCGGCCACCCTGGTCGATAGGATGAACGAGATTGATGGACAGGCGCAAAACAGCCCAGAAACAGCCCCGGGGTCGGGATTTCCAGACTCTGGTGCTTCAACCCACTGAGTATCACTTCATTTTTTTCTACTCTTTTTCAATGAGATTGCTATGTGAGTAAATAACCGTGCCATACTGACAGCAACCAACGGCCCCACCCGATCGATCCTCTAAGGCAATAGAGTCTTCCACCTTCCTCCACTCTGTATCTATGGCTGCCCGAACCATTTTCGCTTGGAGATTTGTGTCACAGGGGGATAGTCGCTATCCGATCGCTCGGATTATGGCTCCAAACCGCGGGCGTGCAGCGGCAGCAGTGTCAGGTAACGGGGTTGAGACATGTCATCTTGACCGGCCTCGTCAGGCGGGATCGTACGCAAACGAGCAGACGCTGTGAGTCCGGTTGATGGGCGTCGGTCGAGGGGGGCAGGGGGAATCGGATCGGATTGTCTGAATCTGGTCCGGAGATCGTAACCGGGGAAGTCGAAAATTCAGTTGAGTGCGAACTGGCCTGAACCGGGGGTCCGCCAGTGACGTGGGACGGAAGGGCTGGTAATGCAGTAAGCTTTGGAGGTGGATGTAGTAGCGGGGTCCTCGCATTTGTACATTGTGTTTGTTAGCTGATGCTTTCGGAGGGGGATATCGATCGCTTGGGGTGAAGGGAAGCCCGGGACAAAAGGTAGGGTGTGGGGGTTGTAATCACACGCACTGCATTATTTGTTGAGAAGTGTACAGACTGCAGACCAAGAACTGGGTGCAAGGGTAACAATGGATATTGATGAACAGCTGACAGCAGTAAGTGCTCGGAGGAGAGATTGTTTAGAGGACACGCAAAGAACAATAGGACAAGAGGATAAAGAAAAAGAAAAAAAAGAATGTTGCGTCAGCGGGGAGTCGAACCCCGATCTATTGCTTGGAAGGCAACAATGCTAACCGCTACACCACTGACGCCTCTTCTTGACATATTCAAGGTAAATCTGTTCTAGTTTACCTACTCAAAATAAATAGTAATACCTACTGTTCGTGGTCCGCTGTCACGGTAGTTCAAAGTCGGGAAATGAGTCAGGGTTCCCGTCTGGAGCCCTAAGATATTCTATTCTTTCTCCTTCCTCCCTTCATAGTTCGACCAGCCTACATTGTGGTGGCAGGGGGAAATCGTGAGGCAACCTTGAACTCATTCCGAGGGCGACACGTACGGCGAGCAGGATCTTTGAGACGGGCACTCCAGGTCGTCAGGTTAAGTCGTGTTAGGTGGTATGGCGGAGGCAGCCAGCGATGGGCAATAATGGCGCGATGGGGCTCTCTGTTCCTTTTCTGGAGAGATTAGGTTGCGATTGTAGGATTTGAAAAGGTAGGAAGAGAAGCAGGGGTAGTACTGTACAATGTAGGAAAGACATCTTGTCGTGTGCGTGTACATGGTGCAAAAGAACTTGTTGCGGTTGCATTCGTCTCTGCCGGCCAGCAGCAGAGCAAGTCATTGTGGGCTTCAACTGATCATCTTAGAGTTGGCAGTCTAACTTGAGGTTGGATGAAGGCTTCTCGTTTGCAGAGCGACTTCTGCTCCTGCTAAGTCATTAATCGTCCACTCTTTCTCTCCACTCCAACTCTCAATGTCAGTCACAACTAAGGTCAACCTACGTTGGTTACAATTGTGATCATTCTATGAGGAAAAAGCGAAAAGATCAGGATGGGGAAGTGCGGCTTAGCAAAGAATGCAGCCAGCATAAGTACTGCACTTAGGCCTCATGGTTTTGTCTCTTCTTCTGTAGCGGTGATCTCTACCCGAAAGACCCACAAACCTCAGGATCTACGAAGTATAGGTAGGAGTAGACAATTTGCACCAGAAGGAACAACCCCATGCTAGCTAGACCCACGTAATACTCCACACTCCACGCTCAGAGTCACAGACTGTGGGATTTTGCTCCTGTCAGTTCTATTGAAGAGGGAGCCGCTCTGATAAGCGACCACGGCACGATCGACGATCTACGGTCCACAATCCGCATTCTACAATCCTGGCTATCAACCCTTCAAATTCGGACCACATTCACGACATGTGCAGCTGTCAGGAGCATTCTAAGCAAGGATCTCAAAGCTTGAAAGCAACGGCAAACCAAGCTGGGACAATAAGCGGGGGAGGTGCTACAATGATGCTACGCAGGATAAAGTCCCATCGCCAAGGTCACTTAGACGACTAAGCACGACTAACTAACTAAGCCTCATCTCAGGACCTCGAGAGTTCGATGGCTTCAGCTTTGATGGATGGAACATTGAGTGCCCCCTGAAGGGCTTTACCAGTTCTATTCTATGGTCTCCCGTTTCTCGTATCATGTCATGATGAGCACTTATTACTCACCACCAATACTATTTGGTCTGCGACCGAGGATATTTCAGAGAACTTGTCGATGCCTTCACACGATCTTGTTATCCAGTACAGCCTGATCGATACCATCTTGGTAAGTCTTCTTGCCTGAGCTAATGGCTTATTCTCAGTGGTCTCGTGGCTTGATTGGTCTGGTATCTATGCTATTCCTGCTGTCATGCTCGACGCCCCCACCATGCACCAGGTGCAGATCTTCGGCCCCTAGACTGCCGCCGCATTCCCCGAAGAACCCCCAGTATGTGCCGGTCGCCCATCAAAAACCAGAACATTCACGAAGCGGTCGCTGAGGCTCTCGGAGGCTTGGTTCTACTCACTTGCGAGATCATCGAGTCGAACCGCCTTCTCCTGACAACCTAGTGGTGGAGCTGCTGGCCCAGAACTAGCTCAACCAGGAGTATACCATCATCCCTACCCAGCGGTCTGGCCCATTGAGTCAGTTGCGGCCAACACAGGACCATCCGATCTGGAACCGACATGGTTGGCCATCCTCAGTCAGGGCAAGTGGAGCGTTGTCAACATGCGGGTCGGGTCGTCTCCCAACCCTTGATGCTGATCGACGTCCACTTCTGCAACCAGCCAGCTACAGCGGCTTGTTCTCACGAAGGTCGCCGCACAGGACCTCTCCAACGAGACCGGTCAAAGTCTCACCGCTGCCCGTACGAACTCCACCACGAACAATACAATCTGACGGTCAAGGCGTGGTCGGACCACGGGGCAAGCGACATGCACAAGTAAATCAGTAGTGTGCCCTTCAGCAGCCCCCCTCAATGCTTCTGACAGTTCCGGCTTTCTCTGGCTTGCTGTCAAACTACCTGTCGGCTTATAAAATCGAGTCTATTGTTTCGCTACCTCAACACGGTCAGCGCAGACGAGGCTCCATGGGCAGCTATCATGTTCCTCTCCTCTGCAGGGTTGAAGTTAGCTTCTCCATGCGTCATCTAGCTTTGTTGCATGCGTTAAGTGTCTTGGTAAAAAGCTTTTGTAAGCATGTAGTCACTTCTACGCTTTGCTAGGAAAGAACCCTTCAACTGATATGAAGCTCGACCAGCTCAATTGAGCATTTCCATAGGCATGACTTCCCATTGTTTCCTGATCGTGCCCCCTTATAGCCTTGGAATACCATCAAACTTCCCTGAGGCTGCTCGAAAAGCTCTACCGAGACACAGATTGATCTTCTCATCAAACCACGACGACCCAGCACCCTAAAACAAGCAGATTTCCTAGAAGGCAAAGACAGTCAAGCATTATAGAAGCCGCTGCCATGCCGGAAAGGTCCCCGGGATCCTAAAGCCCGACCTTCCTTCAGATGCTGCAAGATCGAGCCGCTGCACTTCCCTTATGCAGCTTCTTCCTATCGCTGGGGAAACATCATGCTTTAGAAAGGTCATCTTCTGAATGATTACTCCAGTTCGTCAACTGCAGGCTTCACGTATCCCATAAACAGGTGCAGGGTGGCTGGCTAGGCGCTGAGAAGACAGTTGGTTACGGTTTTCCCTTGGCAAAATGCATACATTCACCCCCTGGCGCCCACTGCTAAAGTTATCGCTTCCTTCCATTTCTCTTGCCATCTTCCCAGTCTTGAAATTCTCCCATGATATACCCGGCGTGTTCGGAAATGACCGGGATTGGAAAGTCCCTGATGCCGCTTCGATCGTTCCAGACAGACTTATTTGCTCTGGGATATCGCCTTCTCGAGGTCGCGGTTGGCTCATGCCCGTGCGAGAAGACTCGCGGAGAGGATTGAGAGACGGTCACCAAAAATTACGACCGTGGGATTCTCCAGCCGTGGAGGCTTGAATCATCGACACAGAATCCCGAAGTTCTGAAATTCCCGATGTGGACATTGAAAATGTGTATCTCAAAATGAGCGCGATATGGATGTCTCGTCTGGTTTGCTACCGCGCCCGATGCAAGCCTTTCTCTTGCTGGGTATCACTCTTCTCATTAACTTACTGGCAGTTTTTATCTTCCTATATACGAACGAAGCCAGAACAGCCAGGTAAGTACATCAACGCGACGACGTGCATCACCCATTGAATTCTATTCTGCTGTGCAGGGTTTGAGACTAAGAAGCAGAAAGTCCGTGACGCTTCAGTTATCCTCAATCATTATTGCGGAGAAAAGATCTAGTGATCAAAGAAAAAAAAAGCAAGAATATGCAAGCAATCCTAGAGAGGCAGTCATCACCTAGAGCTTTGTCAAAGCATCGCAGTGCATAATACCATCACTTGATCCTTGCGCGATTCTCTCCGATGACCTGAGCCGGATCTCGCCTATGCACTGCTTGATCAGATACTTTCATGCTAATGTTGATGCAGACTCAAATCCCTTTCCGCCCCCGCTCAACTTCACCCAGCTTCCTGAAAGCACGCGTGATTGCCACGGCACTTTGATACGCGTAGTCTGCGATACGTCAGTAGCAGGTTCTCGAATCCTATCAAGAGCGATGTGGAGGAAATACGAACAGGAGCCTACGACCATCCAGATGAAATTGAAGAAGAAGTAGTAGAACCAGAAGTAATAGCCTTCCGGCCGGCAGAACAAGACCCCATGGAAGTAGTGGTCGAACAAGCTCGTGGCATAGTACAGAACATCCCCGTAGACTTGTCCCAGCGACATGATGAGCTGCAGAGCATGGCGAGCGGGATGCTGGGTGGCGATGCAGTATGCGATGAAGAATGCGAGAGGGCCCCAGAAGAACTGTATGTAGTGATGATTTAACTTCCGTGAGACAACTGAGACGGTCTGTTTGAGCCATTTCCTAGACTTACGGCGGTGACTGCCTCCATGGAGACAAGGAATGAGTCCGAAGTCAGATATCGGGAGTCAGAAAGGGAGTATTCCTTCCATAGCTGGCCGAATAGTTCCTGCGAGCCGGCGAGGATCTTGTGGTTGATAACAAAGTAGGCTTCGAAGAACAGATGAATGAATCCCGCTGGGTTTGGTTCCAGTTTAGCTTACAAATATACCCCGAAGAAAGCAGAGGATACTCACTCAAGCACATCCAAATGAATGCTACCTGGTCTGATCGACTTGCAGTAGGTCGCGTACGGCGGATTATGAGTAAAGCGATCCCAAGTACCGCAGCCCAGAGGAACCCGAATTGAGCAATCAGTGATAATACTGGGGTTTCGTTTGTTGTGTAATGCGGTAACTGTATTGTCGAGGGATAGTAGTGATGAGGAATTGATTCTGTTCTATTGGCCATTTTGTGTATAGTAACTTGCTAGTCAATTTGGAATTAGCCTATTGTGATTGACTACGACTACTGACATGAAACAATATTTGTATTTGATCTTATATTTGGCGCCGTTTGGCTTCGGGGCCGGAAGCCGCGGAGTCCGCGGAGCTTAGCCCTGAATTCGGATCTTCCACCTGCAAGATCAGACCACCAGATTAGAGTTGCGGCGCATCTGAAAGACAATTTCTCTTGCCGTAAGGTAGTACAGTTAATAAGCTTACCATCATTATGAAAGACACATCTGAGAATTGGAAGAATCACTAAAGGCTTGGCTACAACGCCAACCTTTTGAATTGGAAAAGGGGGGAGAGGGTCTCGGGGGTGCTGGAGCCCTGGAAGGCTCTGCTGGGCACGTAACAGATCAGGTAAGCGGCCAATCCCCGACTCGCTTGAACGAGGTTGAAATCGCTTTTCGTAGAGAATACAGGATTTAGACTCTGCTTGATTGTCATGTTCCTAGTCGGATATGCGACAAGTCTTCTGACCGTAGCTGCTCGAAAGGTACTCGGCTTGAGTAAGCACGCTTCGCATAACTAACTAATATCTTTTCATTCTCTTAATCTCTCACCTTCTCCTTCTCCCGCTATTCAATTCCTTCCCCTCCAATTGCTTTTTTTCATTGACCACGATCCTTGTATGAAATAGTTTGACGTAACTCAGTTCGTGCCGACAAAGATGTATAGAGCTTCATGTAATAAATCATCTGCCTTGTCAACAATTATTCTGCTATCTTATACCTCTCACTGCCTAATCACTAAGATAACATCATTCCCTATAATCTTAAATACTAACTAGATATATATAATATAAGGTAACCATAAAATTACTTATATTAATTAATGAAGTATAATATATTAATATTAGATCTATACTTTATTAGTAACAGATTTATTTACTATAATAATCTACTTTTATATTTTAAAAAGTTATAACATAATCTCTATATTCCTAATCAAGATAAGTATTATAATTAAAAGTACTATGTTTATAGTTTGAAATATAATATCAAATTTGAATAATATATATAATATTCATTCTATAAAACTTAGTATAAATATGTAAGATTTAATTCAAATTATTACTATACTATATATAGCAGAATTATAAGGAGTTTATTTACTGTAAAAAAATAAATAGTTAATTCTTGACTATTGAATTAAGACATATAGTATTAATAACTTAGTATCTGATATTAATTAATACAAGGTATTAGAGATTATATAACCTGCTCCGGCTTATCTCTTTCTTACTGATAGTTTCTCTTTCAGTATTCCCTTAGTCAATTAACTCATTCTTAATCGTTCCTTTCTTTCGTCGTAATCCACCAACAGCGTTAAACTGTTCTAGCACCTTTATTGCATTCAAGTCCGGAAGCAGGCGATTCACTGTCCTATCCAAGGTCACGAGACCGCGCTCCACGCATTGTAGCGCCATAATCGTGGTCAGCAGCTTGGTAGCACTCGCCAGCCGGCAGAGGGTAGCGGGCTGGAAAGGGGGCAGCCGATTGCACTCATCGCGGACCACAGTCCGCGCCCCGAAGCAGCGCGTATACTTCAGAGTGCCTATCGCGCATCTCCATGTTGGAGAAAATATTAATGCCTCTCGAGCAATACAAGGATCCTTCCACACCGCTGAAATCTCGAGCCATGATGACCGCCCCGGGGATCTGCCCTGATTTCACGGCAGTCCAGAAGGCGGTTTCCATCGTGATGACCCTAGCCGAGAGAGCATCTTCGTCACTGATGACCACCATCTTGTTTGTCCAAACAGGAAGGGACAATGAATTTGGTACAGTTGAACACAACCTCACGCAATCTAGGCAGAAATTTGGGGTTGGGGGGAGGGGGGAGTGGCGGCAGCAATCGGGCGATCGGGCGATGGGCATATCGCTGGCTGGATTTCCCCGGTCCTTGCGCTATCGGCCCGTCCCGTATGTATAAGAGCGAGACTCGGGGCTGGAAACCCTCGGTGAGTTTCGGTGTTTACAAGAAGCCCTAGACTAGACTATACTAGCCTATACTAGGCTGTACCAGACTGTCCAGACTGTATTATGTTATATCACACTATAAGATCATACTTTAACAGAACAGCTCAAGTAGATCCAGTTACCAGTCACCGCCCTTAGTTTCGGCGCTAACTATCAACGTATGAAGGACAAGAACCCAGGGTTATAAATATATTCGGAAGGAATACTTCTTTCCACTTTCCCCATGATTAGTAGTATCTAACTCCGGACTACTTCGACAGCAAATAAGGACGCTTGGCTGATGGGTTATGGTTGTTTCTTGAATGGACGGAAATAATTCTAATCGCGTGAGCCCTTTTCATCGAAGCATTATGCAACCATGTAGGCATTGGACAAACCTTCAATGTCGAAGATAATACTAGACCTATTCGTCATCTATAGCATGATACATGAAGTGTAGAATGCAAAAACACCTTTCCGGATGAAAGGGAACAGTAGAAAAAGCGGAACCGAAACCAACCTAACCATTGCTCATTTTTTGTACCTGTAACTGTACCTGCACCCTGGTTCCGGTGATACAAATCGATGACTCTCTATAAATTCTACGCAATCTGTCGGCGTTCAAGAATGTTCAATGCAATACTGTATACACATCGATGGCGCCATGTACAACAGACTTCCCTCAAACCACCGCGCGGCTCTGCCGTCTCCTTCCCAACACAGTGGCCCCCAAGATTTGTGAGGCTTCACTTTTTTGCTGACGCCACTGCACTGCGGTTGTGCTGCATATGAGCATTGACCAAGTGACCAGCCGCTAGAGCGGCGCAAGTGCTTAACTCGCCCGCCAGCACTGCAGCGGCGACAATCCGGGCCAGGCGGCGCGCATTGGCACCAGGGTCGGTGGAGTGCGCACCGCGCACCCCGAGCAGGTCTAACATCGAGCCTTGAGCCTCGAGGATGGTGCCTCCGCCGATCGTCCCGACCTCCATCGAGGGCATTGAGACGGCGATGTGCAGGTCTCCATTGATGCTAGAACAATCCACCGTCAGCACACACTCACACAAAGATACAAGAGGAAAAGAATGAATAAAACCTACTTCTTCATGGTCGTGATGCAACTACTGCTCTCAACATTCTGGGCAGGATCCTGGCCGGTGGCTAGAAACACGGCCTGAACGAGGTTGGAGGCATGGGCGTTGAACCCACCTATACTACCGGCCATGGCACTGCCGACGAGGTTCTTAGCAGTGTTGAGTTCGACTAACGCATCGACCTCCGTCTTCAGGATCTTCCGCACGGTGTCGGCGGGGATCGTTGCTTCGGCGATAACCGATTTGCCGCGGCCTACGATCCAGTTAAGGGCGGCGGACTTCTTGTCGGCGCAGAAGTTCCCTGAGAGTGTAATGGTGTGCATGTCCGGGAACCCGCCCTGCAGGGCCATCGCCTCGAGAGCCTTCTCGACTCCCTTAGAGATCATGTTCATACCCATCGCGTCGCCGGTGGTGGTGCGGAATCGAATATACAGGTAGGTGCCCGCCTGCGCTACAGTCAGGGTCTGAAGGCGCGCGAACCGGCTGGTGGCGTTGAATGCGGTCGTGAGCACCTCATGGCCGACGGACGACTCGACCCAGCGCTGGGCTTCAGCGGCGCGTGAAGCAGAGGGGAACCCCAGGCAGGGCCCCCGTGTCATCCCATCGCCCTTGAGCATGGTCACCGCGCCGCCTCCAGCGTTGATAGCCTTGCAGCCCCGGCTGGCGCTGGCAACGAGCACTCCCTCGGTTGTGGCCATCGGGATAAAGTACGCTTGCCCATCGATCACCATGGGCCCCGCGAGACCGAGGGGCAGAGGCAGGTATCCGATCACGTTCTCACAACAAGCGCCGTGCACGAGCTCGTAGTTGTAGCCGCGATAGGGGAGCAACGACTCTTCGACGCCGCTGCTGAGGCCCTGCGTGGAAGGCGTCCTCGAGACGGCGGCACGGCGAATCCGCACTGCGCGCGTAAATGCTTCCAGTCTAGTCACTGCGCTAGACGATCCCGCTGTTATGCTCTCCAATGTCTTCTCCAAGCTGTACCCCGCGATTTTACCCTGAAGGCACAGCTCCACCAGCTCGTCGTCGGTCAAAGATTCTGCCTCGTTCGATCTGAGCAGAGCCTCAGTCACTTCGGGACTGCGAGAGATGATTTCAGTGGCAGAGGGGGCGCGTGCTAAAGCCGGAGAGGAGCTATCCAGGACAGCTGACTCTTTCTCGGCTCGGGGCAAAGCATACCAACGGGCGGCCTGGATCAAATGATTGTTGAGGATGAGGCTGATAACCAGAGCGCCTATAAGACAGAGTCGGCCTAGCGGGCTTTCCAATCCAGCCAGCACACCATCAAATACGGGGCGTCTAGTGGCTGATACATCATGCTTAGATGATTCAAGGACATACCGAACAGGCATTAGCACTGTCGCACGCGTATCTACTCCCTCGCGGCGCGCTGACAGGTAAATATCGTTCAGACCGTTTGCCGCTACTTTGAAGGGACTGACAGGAGTAGGGGTCAGAGCGGCATGAGTCATAAATCCTCCCATAATGCGATAAAAGAAAGATGACAATTGGAGCACGTTAAAGAGCACGAAGCTACCCACCATCAATAGTTTCCACCGGGCCACGCTTGCAGGCTTGACCTTGTACCCAAAGATTCGAGGGCCATGCTGCGCGTCAGCTTGATGAAGCGCACCGGGGCCCCGGATCCGCGTCACCTCTATTTTTACGCAAAGAATCGTGGCGTAGAAGGTGAACAGAAGAATAGCATCAACGAGCAGGGTCCATACAGCTAGGAAGCAGAAGTGGCCGAGACTTTCCTGCGGCCGGAGTGCCGCTCCGATCACCAACGCGCCGATTTCCAGTAGGTACGACCGCACAATATGCCACCCTTCTCGATCAACCGCGAGTTGAATTGTGTTAGGAATCGATTGGCTCTGACGGTTGTCATCCCCATTGTTGCCACTGGGAGCGGACTGCTGTAACACATTACGCTGGAGTTCTTTAGACGAGTCGAGAACGGTACGAGTAAATTGGATCGGCTTCTCGAAGCCTATAGTCAAAACCAGGAATGGGATACCTTCCCATAGGAGGACCATGTCGACGGGCACGCCGCAGGCAGTCGTGATCCCAAGCCCAAGTATAAAGGCGAATGTGCCAGAGAGTAGGACCGAAGCTGCTAACCAAAACCTCGACCCGAGATGACGCATCGCCCGAAAGAGAGAGACCACGGTTAGATTCATGGCTAGATAACCGAGCCCAATAATCACCAGGTCGACGGTCCCTGCATGTTTGGCACGGTGAAGGAACGAGAGCCACGAGCTTCTGAACCAGCGTCCTAGTGACATGGGACTTCCTTCTCCACGAGGAGACCTAATTGTCCATGTATAATTTTCATTTTCCGAGGCTATGAATTCGACAGCCTCGAGAAAGCCGCTTAGTTGGAAGTATGGAACTCGAAACGCCAACGAGGCATCATCAGAGGAAGTGAAGAAGTTGGAAGTAGGCGGAATTAGATCCGCACCGAGAGACTCGGCGAGCGAATCTGATAGAAGGGAAATACTATTCGCGACAGAAGCATCCGGTAAATTAAGGGTGACAAGGGCCCAGTGGGAGTTCGCCTGATAGATAGCAGTACAAGCACCGTTTGGTCAGCACAAAGAATGATTTGTTAGATCGATGGAGGGAAAGAAGTCTATCATACTTGGTGAAACCCAGACGCCTGAGGCAGGTCCACCTGCCATCTCCAGGAGCTGGTCGCTCCCAGGCGAAGAGTGCGGCTGCCCCAGAGAAAAGACTGGATATTTAAGGGAGCTGCCTCGATCTCGGACCCCAGGCCTACATTAGCAGCCCGATAGGTTCCTTCCAAAACATGAAGATAGGTCGTGGCAGCTGCCAGAGCAGTGACAAGCAGAGTATGAATGGGATATCGACACGCCTGTCCCACAATTGCACGTAACCCTGTAGTGACTCGATGCTGCACCCAGCCAGGACTCGGCCTCATAATCCCAGAACCCATTGTGATGATATCCTTGATTGTGGGAAGCGGGAGATTGTTGAGTGAGTGATTGGGGCTATGAAAGAATAAAGCAAGTACAGGGCTAGCAATATTACATGTCCCTGGTGGGAAACAGAAGAGAGATAATTCAGCTGCACAGGACAACAAAATTAGATTAAGGGCTGTAGTTTTGCCAGCGAGATAAAGAAAAAGAAAAAAAAAAAGAGAGAGAGGAAGGCTATGGGATGGCCGGAGAACGGGGGAATCAAGCAATTCGGGGCTGCTAAACGAGACTAAGGAGAATTGGAAATGGACGAAGCAGGTCAGGCCGGTCGGGGGAGTACGGACGGAGACCAGCAGATAACAATTGGCGCAATATTCTTTTATTTAGGTTTTGTGAAGGAGTTACAACTAGCCCGTTATTAGTCAAGTTGCCACTCGTCACCCCTTTACGTCGTGGCTGAAGATAAGCACTAAGAGACCGGCGGATCTTCTCTACTTTGAACCTGAACCCCAGATGTACAGTATATACGGTATGTATATGTACATCGACAGTCCGGCTATACACATACTTACATGTATGCTGTATTATAACCTTGTCAAATTCAGTATTATTAAAATATTATATATAGTTATATTTTGAGATCTATCATGTTATTTAATATTCTAATCTTTATTATATTGATACTAAAAAGTAGCTCTAATTATATAAATTTATCTATTTAAATAAAATATACAATTATTATGTATATTTTATATTATAACTCTTCAAATATTTTAATTTAGAAATATTCAGATTGTACAATATCTTACTATTTATACTTTATTACTAAATATATTAGAAAACCTATATCAAAAGAATAAAGTGTATTTTATTAACTGAAATTTTTATTAGATAGATATAAATTATAGTATCAACAAATTCCTATATTTAAATAAAAAACTTTTGAATATTCAAAAATATATTAACTAGTCAAACTATTAAAGTAATATTTTATATCTTAAAATCTAATAATTCTACTATACCTTATCTTCAGCCTGCACTACATTGCGGGTTGGTTTAGACTTACTACGAGAGAATGAGATTACTCTGGGGGTTTCCTCAGACCAAGGCATTGCAGCTTCCATCAATGTGGGTAGGGGGTGGGAACACGGGGGGGGATGCCGCACGACCAGGGACAGCCCATTCCAACATGGGTTGAGAGAAACTGCGCATTCCAGCCTCCCGAGTTTTTTCCATATTCTGGAGTAATAACCTAGTTGGTTACCTAGGAGGCAGGATCTGCTAGTCCGCGAGGCTGAACTATCGCGGTGCTATAACGATGCTATAAAGTGATTTTTTCTTTTGCTTATTAATACAGCATAATAATCTAGAAGAGCTTAGCAACACTTTTCCTAGTATTAATCCAGTCTACTGTTCCTGTCCACCTGTAAGATGTACCCTGTTATTATTAATAAAGTACATATTCTCTGCGGGGTAGAGAGATATAGTATAGTAGATCTGTAATTATCTAGTTAATTCTTTGGGTTAAGGCTGCTAGTCTCTGTCTGTACCAGGCTGGAAAGATTATAATTAACTCAGGGCTTCTTACTGTGTAGTACATTTATAGTACCGTTAAATCAAACTGACGAGACCAGGTCAAATCCCTACTCGCGTTCCATAGACTGACGGATGGGAACCCCCAGGATTTACTCGTTATCCGAAATGATTTCTCTAGCTACGCATACTTATTGTAGACTACACAATTCAACTATCTTTGACTTTATATATTCATACGTCCCCCCCTTTATCCCCCACACTTTGTCTGAGTCAATTTCTCAGGTCATAACCACTGCGCTGACGTTGTTATTATATGACCGGCCCTATATTCCGGCATAAGGCTAACCTGATTATGGTATAAATGTGGATATGCTTTTGGTACTCCTGAGTTCTGAGTTTTGGTTCAGCTTTGACCATCCAACCATAACAGGTCATTTGTCAATTTGTTCAGACCAGGGCTGAGTCTGATTTGATGTTTGTTTTTCTTCATTTGCAATCATAAGACGGGGTATTAAGCCGAGTTGTCCAATCTGCTCGCTTATATAGTCCTACTGCGCGGACCCCTCTCCAGGCTCCAAGTTTCACACTAATAACAAAATTGGAAAATACGCGCGTTCCTTTTGTGGCGGCCAGAGGGGCTGGGGCTGCTAATGGGCGCGTGTCCTGTTTACAAAGACATATTTCTATTATTATTCCAAGTTATTATCATAGATACTGCGTACCATCCTTCCTTATACGGCCTCATCAACGAATGGCAGTGACACTGATCGCTTCCGACTCCCACCCGCAGATCTGGCCAAACGGACGAGCTTTCCTCCACTGACTAAAGATATTGTACGACAGAAAAAGTTCTGTATGGGTTTCAATGCAGTACAGTACGTTCCAATCGTCAGTGGATACAAGACCAAGCTCAGCCAGATTTTGAACTTGCCTGGTTGATATAAATTCACTGCTCTGGCCCAATCTCGGCTGCCTAGTTTCGAGCGATGCCAGAAGTCAAGAATAAGACTCGAAACCTGGGATTTGAGGATGTTCAGGAAGCAAGCAGTCGCGAAATTTAACGCATGTAAAGTAGGACTGCGGGTTCATGCCGATGCGGCAGAGGCTCCTTCACCAAGCTCTTGGCAACGGAACTTAGAAGACACCGACCCCCTTGAGCTAACTACCTAGTGCACTTACGTAGCACAAGCCTTTACTAGCTCAGGTATAAATGCCCAAATCAGATCTAGCTTGGTGAAATCCCCTTCTAAAGGTTATTTTGATCCTTTTTCCGAGTTAGCTCCTGGGAAGTCGGATGGAACTGCTTGACAAGATATATAGAGCCTTCATGAAACTAAATCATCTGTTTTGTCATAAATACCTTCTCCGCGCGTTCCTTGCGGTCTAGTCACCCGGATAGTATCCATATCCATACTGGCAGGGTATATACAGTGCAAAATGACCACAGGGCTATATATATTAACTGATAAAATATAAGATATCAATATTAGATTTATATTTTACTAGTAACAGGCCTATTTTATATTATAATTTATTTCTATATTATAGAAGAAGTATATCATGATTTCTATACTTTTGATAGAGATTTAGATCATAAATAATAATATTATTTTTGAAACATCGCATAAAGTATTTATCTAGGATTTATTATTATTTATCTAGTAAATATATATATACAGTATGAGTGCAGTGCTGCAGCAGGATCAAAAAAACAAGGTCTCTGAGTCGGACGGGAGCCGTTGCCCACACCCCAAGTCATGGGAAGAGGTACCAAGTAACACCACCACAATAAGTACTATAACAACCTCTAGCTTAGCACATACGACCACAGGGTGTGGAAAATAGGGCTTCCCGTCCGCTCAGCCGTACTCAAGCCACACGCCGGCCGGTTAGTAGTTGGGTGGGTGACCACCAGCGAATCCCGGCTGTTGTATGTTTTTTTTGTCGCTTTGATTGTTCTTGGCCTAACTGTCGAAACAGGTCCTTGAAATGGGGTGACTGGCACCTTAAGTACTACCTAACTGCATGCATTTCAGGAACAGAGATTCGGCTGGAATAGAATTCAAGTTGGAGGATTTTGTGTCCCACCATTCCCGGCCATATAAATCTTCTCGAATGGACTGGAGAAAAAGCACAAACAACAAAGAGACATGCAAGGAAACCGAGAAAACAAAATGCATAGCCTTCTAGAGCTATAGGTGGCAATTGATAAAACGTATTGGCCGCCGCGCACTATGCATCCCATGCCTTCTCTCACCTACAGGTTTCTCACAACCTAGCAGCTGAACGGATGTACCAGATATGAACCACCCAGTAAGATTATGAGTATGTCAGCGAGGCAGGGTAGATGGAAGAGTCTATGAGCATTGCTCTTCCCGAGTCTTGAAGCCACAGCACGCAAACTAGTCATTAACCGGTCTCGAGAGCTATTTATTCTTCTCTTGCTCCGCTTAGAGTACTGGAAGTCACCTGACAGGGTAATACCTGCAACTGGCATCCTCCTACAGTTATCGAATCTCATTGTATAGCCAAGACATCAATAATAGGTATCTCTGGATCACGTTATTCTCATATCGTCAATGATCTGGTACCTACATGCTACAATGGGATGATTGGTTTGGATCTGAATGCATCAGGACTACTTTAACTGGTGTGTATCTGAAGTCATGTTCACCGCGGCACAAAATCATAATAGCTGCAATTATACGGACCGCCTAAAAGACAAATCCAAGGACTTTCCCCCCTTTTCACTATCACAAAGATTCGATTTGAAGACTCTAGTTGGTCACGTAGGCCGAATTCTCTAATTGTACTTAGATATCCCATGTTATCACATATATCTCGGGGCTATGGAACTTGGTGAGCTTATGAATCATATTGCAGCTAAGCACAATGAGTGCCTTCCAATATGGCAAAGTCTGGTCAAGAGAGATTTAGTCTGAACCCAGAGCTGCTCACTCCTTGCTAGGGTCCTTATTGTACAGCGCAACCACCATTTCCGCCACCTCAGCAATGGTTCGACCCTTCGTCAACTGGAAGACCGAAATATCTACATTGAGCTGGGCGGTGAACCAGTTACGAAGCTCGATAGCGACAAGCGAGTCAACACCCATCCCCGCCAAGGTTTGCTGGGCAGACATCTCTTGGTCAGCCAGACCGAACATGGTCATTAGCTTTTGACTCATAGCCTGCACCACAATATCGATGGCCTCTTGATGAGAGGCTACCCGGCTCAACCGAGTGCGGACACTGTCGTCATTGGCGGGGGTTGGAGATAAGTCGTTTTTCAGGGAATCCCTGTATCTGAGCCCCGCGAAGCGTGCATCTTGCATCCACTCGACATGTTCCCAGTGAGCCCCAGAATCCGTGTTGATACCAGTAACTATGACGGCGGGCGGGGTAGGTGCAGATGGAGTAGAGCGCGAGCAAGAAGACATCAAACAAGAGCATAGGGCCTGCTCGAGCACAGCCAGAACCTCCGCTTCATGCATAGGCTGGAGGCCGATTCGAACCAGTCGCTCCGTAAGTGCCCGGCCACTCTCTGCAGCAACACCAATAGATTTCACTAGTCCCAAGTCGATTGTGACTGCAGGCTTTCCTTGAGAGATTCTGTGCTGTGCAAGCGCATCCTGAAACGTGCCCGCAGCGGCATAATTGGCTTGCCCTGCATTGCCCATAACCCCAGCAACAGACGATAGCATAACAAAAAAGTCTACATCAGAGACAGCCTTATGCAAATTCCAACTGCCCTGTACCTTGGGGCGGAGAGCAGTGTGAAAGTCGTCCGCTGTCATCTGCGAGACAAACATGTCCTTGAGCACCATCGCAGCTTGAATAATGCCTCGAACTGGTGGCATGTTATCCTCCCGACACTTTTGTAAAACTGCTTGGAGCTGACTCTCGTTAGCCACATCGCATGAATGTGGACGGACGACACATCCTCGCTCCTGGAGTTTGGCTACAAATGAATCCGTGTGAGCATTCCGGGACAGGATAATCAAATACCGTGCTCCATGGTCCACCATCAACTCGCAAATCCGTCTTCCAATAGCACCTAGCCCTCCGACAATGAGGTAGGATGCGTCGCACTTCAGACCTATTGGCACACGTCTCTGGCGAACACTGACCATATCCTTTCCAGTCACCGCCACCACAAGCTTGCCGACGTGCTTGCCGCTCTGCATAGTACGAAATGCCTTCTCGATAGCCGAAATAGGGTACTCCGAAATAGGTTCAATCATCTCTATTCTCCTCTGTTCTAGGAGCCGAATAACCTCCGTCAATGCTCGAGAAATCTCAAGGGATCTGGCCTCCTGCCAGTAAAGAATATCAACCGAGGAAAAGGAGACATTCCGCGTAAAGGTCGACATATCCAGTCGGCTATTTTGTTCGAGGTCCTTCTTGCCAATTTCCACGAACCGGCCAAAGTTGGCCAAACAGTCAAAGCTATTCTGAAGAAGACTCCCCGCAAGAGAGTTGAGCACCACGTCCACTCCATTACCGCTGGTGCAAGCATTGATGCCCTCGACAAACCCGCAGTCCCTGCTTGAGAAGACATGGTCGGGCTCGAGCTTGAATCTGTCAATCAAAAACTCACGCTTTGCCTGAGTTCCAGCGGTGGTGAAGATTTCAGCTTCAATCAGTTGAGAAAGAATGATGGCTGCCTGCCCAACACCCCCAGCACCTCCATGGATCAAGACCTTTTCACCTCGTCGAAGCCGAGCAACAGTGTAAAGAGAGATGTAGGCTGTTGTGAACGCCAGTGGGATGGAAGCCGCCTGTTCAAAGCTCAGGGAGTCAGGGATTTGAACGACGTTGGTGCGGGCGGTGCGCACACTCGACGCAAAATGTCCTTTCATGAGGGCGCAAACACGGTCGCCCACTGCTGGCCCTCGTGCCCCCACCCTTACTGCTTTGCTGAGTCTCGTAACCACACCAGCGCATTCAAATCCCATAACTCGATTCTTCTTCAATTGGCCCATGGCAACCATGATGTCACGAAAGTTCATACCGAAAGCTCTTGGTTCGACCTCAATCCAGTCCCCTGATAGTTCAGTACTATCAACTGCGTTCGCCGTACAAGGGTTGAAGTATAGGGAGTCCAGGAGGCCTGGAGTTTGCACATTTAATTGGACTGCAAACCTATCACCTTGGAACGGTCGTAAAACGATAGAATCTTCATCGTCGCCCTCGTGGTTGAAGCTCAAGTGGCGAAGCGCTCGAGGTACATGAATAAAACCATCCCGCTGTGCAAACTCAAAGTCCTTCTCCCGAGCGCCGTAGAAAAATGAAGCATGGACGACAGTTGCAATAGCATGGCAAGACTCAGCCGTCCATGGGTTACGCGAGGGATCGAGGTCCAATGAAACAAATCGCCTGCCGTTACTCTCATTCCTGAGCGTGCGTAGCAGCCCTAGGTGCAGAGCCTTCCATGGATTCAACGACGTCATTGTTGCTCCCTGAGAGACCCAGAGAGCTCCCCTGCTGTTCTGCAGCATGAAGGTCAAGGCTGTAAAATCGTCGTTGGTTATGCGATCAAGCAAAGGGTATTCCACCTCCCCAAGAAATACGCAAATCTTTCCCTCCAGATTAGAAATGTTGTGAAGTGGCTGGATTGAGGTTAGGGAACTGCTCCTACCCCTGAGACTTAGCTGCAAGTTTTGCAACCAGACTGTTGGCGGAAGCGAGCCGGCATGAACCAGAGTCACCTCAGCTCGGCCATCAGTAACAGACGCGGGAGTGTCAGGGGTGGCTGTGGTCATTATGGTACTGATCATATAGAACTCGGCACTGTTGCAGTTGCGGGATTCTAACTCCACCCCGTTGAACCCAGTATCACTTAAGACACTACGCCATAAGTCAGATGGTAGGGAAGGGGTAGACTGCCGCTCTGGCTCTTCGCTGAGCCACCAGCCGGGTAAGAGACCGAAAATGAAGAAGAAGTCAAGCTGATCATTTGTACTTTCCACCAGAATGAGCCTGCCGCCAGGCTTCAACAGCTTCCGCACATTGTTCAGAGTGTGCCGTATGTTGCTCGTGGCATGAAGAACCTGAGACGCCAAGACCACGTCGTAAGATCCGCCTTGAAACCCTTGCGCTTCCGGGTCACGCTCGATGTCTAACTTGCGGAATTCCATCACATCCTGCCATTCCGCGAAACGCTTTCGAGCTGCTTCAAAGAAGCCAGCGGACACATCGGTAAAATCGTAGTGGTCTACCGGCTTGGTGTTCCCCAAGGCGTTCACGACGAGTTGAGTGCACCCCCCAGTTCCACCGCCAATTTCTAGAATGCGAGAGCGTGGGTTTTTGTGACAGCATAGGCGCACGAGTTCACTGGCCTGCGCATTAGACCGACCCATCCTGAAATCCTCCAGGTAGTATCTGGACAGCAGCTGACCATCCATCATCATCTCTAGAGGCTCAATGTCACCGCACAGGATATCAGGTAGCTTGGGACCCAACCGACAGAGCATTTCCCCGCTGATACCTGCAGAAATAACCCTGGACCGGAGGCTTTGTTTTTGCTCTTCATTATCTTGCATCCAGTGCGCGCTGTCTTGCCCTAGCTCTGTACTGGCAGCGCAAGCTAACTGGACTTGCATCCAGCTATAGTATTTCTTGAAGTGACGACTCATCTTCATGATATTCTCCGATGTTAGAGTTTCCACTGCGTCTCGAATGAAGTGTACCGCGCACCGTCGAAGGTCCAGCTGAAGTTCAATCTCTTGAGTATGAATGTCAGAATTTAGAGTCTTTTCCAGCCATGTTAAATTGACCAAGCTAATGTCGGGAGCCCAATGCCATGAGCTACAAGAGCTCTTGTGTTGGATTGGGCCTTGCCTATACCCGTCAAGACTAGCCCCCAACGACTGAAATGTAAGCCCTTCAAGCTCGATCAAAGCCCCTGCGCCCGTATCTGTCTCAGAAAACACGGCCACATTAGCTGTAAGTAAACTTGGCCCTTGATCCTTCATCTTGGCCTCCGCGCGCAGCTTATCCCCTGCCCCAAAACTGGCGAGACGGGCGTGTATCTTCACGCAGTCCACACGATTGGGTATCATGGCGGCTTGCATACGTGTCCCAGCAAACGGAAGTATAGTGATAGCAGCCTGGAAAGCTGAGTCTAATGTGGTTGGATGCACAACGTGCCGGCTTTGATGAGCGTGTGGCATAGCAGCCGCCGTGTCGGCAACGGACAAAGTGCACCACGATGTCTGTTCATCGCGTTCAATGCGCACAATATTCTGGAAGAAGGGCCCGAGACAGATTCCATTCGAGTGCAGGGAAGCCCAGAAATCTTGCGGTGTTGTCTTTCGGCTCCATGGTGGCGGTGTTCGTCGAATCGACGAACCGCGGCGGGCATCATGATCGACCTCCATGCGAATTCGTCCCGTACAGTGCTCCGTCCAATCATCCTTCTCACCGGTGATTGAGTGGATCGAGAAAGTGTGCCATTCCCGCAATCCAAGACTACTATGATCGGCTGTACGTATGGTTAAGCGCAAGTCCACCCCTTCGTCACCGTCCGCGGGTAGCATCAGTGCCTGGGCCAGATCCACATCATGCAAGATGTAACTTAAGCTGGCGTTGTCATGACCAGGGGAGAGAAGCTGAGAGAGCCCGTCAATAGCCATACTGATGAATCCAGCGCCGGGGAAAACGATGCGCGAGCCCAGGACGTGATCGCATATCCATGGCACATCTGAGACCCGAAGCACATTTTGCCACGAGTGCGCAGATGGAGGACACAAGGGCTCTTTCAGTCCAATTAGCTCATGCACAGGAAGATTGCGCCCTCGTGCAGCTCGACTGATGCGCGGCTCTTTCCAGTACCTGGTTTGGTGGTTCCAAGGATATGTAGGCAGATCATACAGTACCTGGACTAGGGCTGCTTCCTTCCCCCGTGGAAAATTAACCGCATTCAGATCGATGGTATAGCCATCCTGCCAGAGCCCCAGAGCGAGATGGTGCATGGTGCTCAAAGCGCTCTTTCTACGTGATAGACAGGGGAGATAGGATACTTGCAACGCGGCGAGCTCTGGTAGCTGCTGCATGATTTGCTTAATTGGACCACCTAGGGCCCCATGGGGACCAATTTCGATTATTGTGTCGACCTCTTGCATTTTGCGTTTCCCGTCGAAGCACATCTCGCGAAATGCGGATTCAAATTCGACAGGCTCGAGCATGCATTGTATCCAGTGCACCGGGTCCCGGAGATGGTTCAGATTGTCTAGGCGTCTCCCAGTTCGGGGAGACGCATAAATGACGTCGCGAGGAGCCTTATTGGTATCAATTGGGTCCATCTCGAGAAGCTCTGCCAGGGTATTCCGAATATGGTCTGCCATCGGCCGCATGTGCTCCGAGTGGAACGCTTGGGTGATATTCACTCGTCTTGCAAATATTTGGTCGGCATTTAACAACTTCTCCAATTGAGCAATCGCAGACAAATCACCTGATACAGTCACGCTAGACGGACTATTGATGCATGCGACAACAAGGTGGTTCGTTTCATCACGCACTTGTGCGATATACTCACTAACCTCACGGCGACCTAACCCCACAGCAAGCATGGCCCCCTTGACTCTCGACGCCGACGATAGCCCCGTTGGCAGGCAGGCGCCACGAAGATAACTCATCCCAATGGCGGCTCGGGCTGTTAGTGCACCGGCCGCGAAGGCTGCAGCTGCCTCGCCGCTGGAGTGACTGGTTATCGCTGTGGGTTGTATATTCCACGACCAAAGAAGCCGAACGAGTGCAATCTGGATAGCCGTGGACAGTGGCAGGGTAAACTCTGCCTCGCTCACGCAACTTTCAAGCTCACCGCGGCGAAGTTCATCTAGAGTCATGATAAACAAGTCAGTATCATAGCATGTGCCCTCATGGATGTTGAGTTCCGCAGAATGTACCTAATATAGACCAGCGCGCTCCCATGCTCTTGATGTGGTCATCGCCCTCGACAAGACTCTCCTTGAAAATAGGGTACGCATCAATCAACTCTCGACCCATTGCATACCATTGTGCTCCCTGGCCAGTGAAAACCCAACCTAGTCTCGCTTTCTCGGCTGATCTCCGAAGTTGCGTCCTTCCGTTATCGAGATTGGAGGCAAGGGTCGCCAGACTCTCTGCCACACAAGCTGCCTTCCATGGGAACTTGGAGCGACGAGAAGCTAGGGTGTACGCCATATCTGCAAGGAATTGTTGCTCATCCACCGGCCTGGCTTGGCAAAGATAGGCACGCAGCCTCGATATCGTCCTCCGGCAACTGTGCTCATCCTTGGCACTCAATACATATATCCGGCCCTGCTGCTCGGCCTCCGCCTGGCTGCCATGAGGCTGAACGGAACTGTTTCCCTCCCTCAGCGAAGGCTTGCTCATGGTTTCATAACGCTCCACAATTGCATGAGCATTTGCACCTCCAAATCCATAGTTATTGATTGATGCACGACAAATTCCATCTACCGGAGGCCATGTTTGACATTTTGATACAATCTTCAAGTTTTGCGATGAATGAGCCGAGAGCTCAAGCCTAGAGAGGCTGGAAGTTGGGGAGGTCGGAGAACATTACCTGGATGTTTTTATCCTTCAGCCACGCCATGTTCGGTTTCAGGAACGTTGCGTTGGGTGGTACAATCCGCTTTTCCAGCGCCAAAGCTACCTTAATCACACTTGCCAGACCGCTGGCACCTTCAGTGTGTCCAATATTAGCTTTCATGCAGCCAACAAGCAGAGGTTGCTGGGCTCGACTGAATACAGCTGCGATGGCTGCTAGCTCGAGTGGGTCGCCGGTCGGAGTGCCCGTTCCATGAGCCTCCACGTACGCTGTCTCTCTCGAGTCCAGCCCGGCTTTTCGGTAGCATTCTCGAATCAAGTGCTCCTGCGCCTCGTCGCTTGGGGCACCGATGGTGGGCACCTTTCGGCCATTTTGGTTGAGCGCGGTTTCGCGGATGACTAGACGAATGGGGTCCCCATCCCGCAGCGCATGGGGAAGAGTCTTCAAGATAATGGCCGCCACTCCTTCGCCTCGACCATATCCATTAGCTCTCGGATCGAACGAGTACGATATTCCCTCTGGCGATAGGACACTGGTCTCAGCGCGAAACGATTAGCTTCAGAGCCGCCTTGGTAACTGGGATCGCAAATCACTAACTTCACATTGGATAGCGTGATAAATGCATTCGAGTTCAAGAGCAGGTTTGCTCCGGCCACGATAGCTATCGCAGATTCACCCGCTCGTAAGCTCTGAATAGCAAGATGCATTGCAGTCAGAGTGGTGGAGCATGCGGTGTCGACTGTGACACTCGGCCCGTGAAGATCATAGAAGTGGGAGACGCGATTCGCGAACATTGTTTTATCAGTGCCTGTGAACATGTATCGCGGAAGGCTTTCTGGGCTCCGATGAAGTGAGTCCGTGTAGTCCTGATACATGGCGCCCCCAAAGACCGCTGTATTCGAGCCAGCCACACCCTCGAGAGGTATCCCAGCTGCGATGTTGAGATTGTTAAATCGGCTTCGAACGCTGGAAAGAAAGGGGTTTTCCTCAATAACAAACACGTACCGGCCTCTAGTGCTTCATAAACCACTTCGAGTATCAGTCGGTGCCGAGGATCCATACACTGGGCCGCAATGTTAGCCCTATTTTGGTTTTGATGTCAACACCAAGCATGAGTACTGTACACACACTGGCAACTTCACCCGTCATATTGAAGAACCCGGCATCAAATAGAGCCGGATCTTCGTCTAGAAATTGGCCACCCCGGACGTGCATCTACCAGCAATCGACGTCTATAGCTTAGCAAACAGCTGTGGGGGTGGGAATACTCAGGATTATCATTCATACTAACCGATCCTAATCGTTCGCCATTGGGGTGGTAGTTACCGTTGACATTGAATCTCGAAGCTGGGATCTCAGAGCGAGTGCTTCGTCCTTGCTGTAGCAATTTCCACAGTTTCTGTGGATCGGTTGCACCCCCAGCAAATCTGCAGCCCATACCCACAACAGCTATGGGTACAGGCTTGCACGAGGTTGCCGTGTCTGCCATTGTAGCTGATAAATCCGCAAACGTTTCTGAGTAAACCTGACACGTTCTACTTTTGCCACCGGATACCTGAGTATGCTGCGATTGAACGTGACTTTGGATTTCCGCAGGGCGCGCAGTGCGTTTGAGGGCGTCAAAAGGGTGCCCGCCACGGTAACGAGTAGTGTAGCCAGAGGCCGACGCTTGAGAATATGGCCTCCTCGGACTTGGAAACAACCCTCAATCAGCACTGAGCTTAGCACTGCATTGTGTGACTGTCAGCGAGGTGACATAGCTAGGCCACAATAGCCCCGTTTGATTACGCCGAGCCGAAACGCCGTCTCCGGGCAAGTTAACACTCACCTACTGATTTTGGTAACGGGGCGTATGTACATGAAGAGTAATAAAGACAAACCAGACCGCCAGTGAAGCAAATGAGATACATTTCGAGTCTAATGGAGCGATAAAACGCGAGTAAACCCAAGCATGTGTGTGAGAGGATAGAACCACCAAGGTGGAAGGGTGAGCGGAGCCATCATTGGCTTGAGGAAAGTGCCATCGGCGTAAGGTTAACGACCACCCTACAGATTATACTATACTGTACACATGTTTATAGCTTAAAATGATCGAAACATAGTCGCATTATACACCCGATCTGACCATCGGAGGGATATACAGCACCGAAACCCATGTGCCTGATGCAGTCAGAAGGGATGCTGTACTTGTGCAGCAAAGCAAACACGACAATTAGGGCCTGAGAGCCGTCGGCTAGCAAGAAATAATGATCAGTCTGTGTCCAGGCACTCGCTATAATTCCCTGACTGGCCCTAGTGCAAGCCATCTTGGAGGTCCAGTGCTAGCAGAAGCTTTTCGGAGATATGAAGGGTGGCACGGAATGTTTGTAAGACGCTTTGTAACAGAGACCAAGGAGATAAGATTGGCTCTTCATAACAAGTAATCATGCGCGTCTTCTCGCACTGACATGCATCAGTCTGTTACATGTATTCGATGCATGCGCAGAAGAACCTCCGAACGAATAAAAGACAGTCCGCCGTGCACGCAGTACGGTATATCTAGCGCTTGTTCCATCCAAGAACTCAATCTTGACTTTCATCCCTTGCTTATTCTCTTCCATGACGTGCCACAACACTAACCATCGTTTTTTGTTACAGAAAAGCTTGTTCCAGTCAACCAAAATTTTAGCTAAGCTTGAAAATACTAATTCAAGAAGAGAAAGTCCTGGAATGGAACCCATTTCCGTCTTGGTTAGAGAAATCTCTCGGAGAAATCCCTAATATAATTCTCTCCTCGTCATAGAGAAATGGTGACATAAACATCTTCACCTCGCACAAATACTGATTGAGGCGTGGAAAGAGAATCGATTTTGCCTATTCATTTCTCTCTGGCTGCGGGGGTTGGGGAGTGGAGACGCCAAACACGCGGCCCTATAAAGCCCCTTCTGCCGCGGCCCGACGGACTTTCCCCTTAGAATTGACTATCTTGGCAAGTTTACAACCCCAAAGACAGAAGCAAAATACAGCATGTCAAGCACCATTCTAGAAGTAGTCAAAGCATGCGACAAGTAACCACACCAACCTACTCCATCCTTCAATGCAATTCCCAAACTAACATCCAAAACAGTTTCATCCAACCCGGCCAACCCACCACACACCCACGAGCCACAGAGAACAGCTACGCCTTCCGCGTAAACGGCTGCAGTGCTACACTGGGCCACATCCTCCGAGAAACCGTGGAGAAGATCCAATGGTCAGGGTGGTGGACGATCGACCACACGGAACGTATCGTGACCCTAGCGACGGCGGCGACCGCGACCGCTGCGGTGCGCTCGCGCATAGTCGCGGAAACACTGGCCGCCACGCGCGAGCGCTCCGTGATCTCGATGCTGGATCAGTGGCGCGAAGAGCCCTTTCCGGTGTATGGGCCGGACGGGAATGTCGTGCTGGAGGTCGAGCGGTGCGCCAGCGCCTTGTTCGGGATCGTGACGTACGGGGTGCAGCTGGTCTGTTATGTGAGGGACGAAGGGACGAGTTGTCTGCGCGTGTGGGTGGCTACGAGGTCGCCACAGAAGCAGACGTACCCTGGTATGCTGGACTGCACGGCTGCGGGCGGGCTTGTGGCGGGCATGACGCCGATTGAAGCGCTCGTCTGTGAGGCACGGGAGGAGGCTTCCCTCTCGGAGGATATGGTTAGAGGAGGGGTTAAGTCTATGGGTCATCTTAGCTACTTCCATGTCCGCGGGAGGAGCGCTGGGGGAGAGGTCGGTCTCCTGCAGCCTGAGGTCGAGTATACGTATCAACTCGAACTAGACGCAGGCGTCGTCCCGACGCCACGAGACTCCGAAGTGCAGGGGTTCAGTCTCTGGACGGTCGAGGAGGTGCTTGTTGCTCTGAGGGCGGGGCGGTTCAAGCCCAATAGTGCGGTGGTGATAGTCCAGTTTCTCATGCACCATGATGTTATCACCCCGGAGAATGAGCCGGCCTACGCGGAGATATGCTCTCACTTGCATCGCAAGCTTGATTTGCCTGTGTTGATCCAGCCGTACCAATGACTCTCCTCGCTTGTCGAGGCAAGCGTTGCTTGTATTGACTTATGAGTACATTAACGGTTCTTCCAAGGACTGATTAACTGTCTTATTCTAAGCCAGGCGCTCTCCAGATCCTAGCATTACCGACAATTCCTTCTCTCGCGCCGCCCTCCGGCGCGGCAACACAATAGCCATCCCGTCCGCCTCCATGCAGGGGAGTCTCACGAACTGGGGACGTCCAAGCATACCCCCGAAGTCCATCTCGTAGAGGTCGAGATCCGATCAATTGGTGATAGTCAGGTCCCGCGACCCGAACATATCCCTGCCCACAAAGAGCCTTCGATAGTCCTCCATGAAGTCGACAAGACCGTAGGCCTCGGCGATGTACCGCGAGTTGACCCGGGCAGGCGACTGCGACTCCGCTATGCGGTCACAGATGGTGGCGAGTGCACGGACCGGATCCTCATCCGCGCTGGCCAGGGCTCCAACCGGATAATGTGCCAGGGTTAGACCACGGTGTTACCGAGATAGGGATGTTCGGGGCCCGGAAAGCCCTGGTAGAGGCGTTGGCGGTCGTTGATGGCTGTCACCAGTCGACTCGGTTCGTTGCTTTCCAGGGCTGATGGGTGGTGCCGGCGGCGGGTGCGCACCCGGGTGATGCTCGTCCAGAGCAGGGCGTAGATCACGACGTTGGTGGTCGGTGCCTTTGTCGTCTACTTGCGTAGCACCTCTTTAAGGACATTGATCTAGTGAATTGAGATTGTCCAGAGTTATGATGTGCATGGGGCGGATTCCGAGGGAGAGCGGGTGGTTGATTGGAGTATTCGGGGTGCAGTGCCAGGAGCTCTCCAGTCGAAAGGGATGAGATCTCTTGTGTATCCGATGATAGTGCTTTGAATAGTCGCTGAACTCTCTGCTGAGGTGCATTTAAGTACTCCTCATACCGGGTTTCGGTAGCATTTCTAGCTCACAGTCGTACTAGTTCGGAAAATCCGGCTGCATCGACGGCATTGTGGTGTAAGCAGACAAACGCCCACGCCTCGGTCGGCGAAGCGGAAGAGACTGGCGGCGAAGACTGGGGCCGCCGTCGCGAAAAGATTGTCGTCAATAATGCTTGGTACTGGCCAGACCTTGGATGGAATAGTTTCCATTGAAAACCCATGCGGAGACAGGATCGCGTACGACGCAGCTATCGAGCCCTTGTCGACCAAGGTCGGTGCATTGCCTTCATGGGAACGGATCTCAAGAGAGGCCTTGTGCTGGTTCGATGTGCTAGGAAAGACTCGACCAGATAGCCAAGGCACTTGCTTCAAAAGCTTATTAAGACCATGCTGAAGATGCTGCGTGATCGGTGATGTTGATGCTGCTGTTTGAAATACCAGAAGAACCCTAATGTAGGTTCGCGGCATAGACAAATCTAGAGGAGCCAGCATCAGTAAGTGTTGCCCGCCATAACCCACTTTAAAATCTAGAGGTCGTTGGGATCTGGGATTGAGAACAAGAAAGAAACTTAAACTAGATGGGAGAGCTTGACTATATTGACAGGCTTGGATCTAAATCCGACTGCCCGGGCCCACAGGCCCGACCACGCGGCTGGCCGGGACAGGAGTATAGATGAAAATAGAGCCAATTTCTCTACAGAGACATCGCTGGAGACGGGTACACAGTCAATTAGTGAAGCTTAGATTATGATCTTTGCCTAGTGGCACTATACGCTCTTGGCTTGCAGGGGAAGTCAACGGAAGTAACAGCATGCACGTACATATGTGCGTAAGCGTTGCTGTCTCCTAAAGACACCGGCCTAAAATATAAGAGCATGTAGATTTCACTTCTAGCTCTCCATGCAATCTGCTCTGCCTCCTTTGATAGAGATCGTTATGCAATCTCGACCCAACAAATTACAGGCAACGATCAGTCACTTTGGCATCGCCTCCAGTCGCGGTCATTGTTTTGCTCAATTTCTCAGTATGTGTTGATAATTGCTCCTTCCAGATGCCTTGTCTTCTTCATGGATACCGCGAACATAGGCATTGCTTATAACTTGGACGACGTGCAATAGCTCACTTCACAGTAGGACCAGATCAACCTCCAAAAGGAGGCTACTCAGCTCAGCCAGTAGTATGCTTCTTCCAGTACACTGAACTAACGCTAGAGGATAGACTTACTATCAACGGTCACCAGTACTAAGTTCAATCACTCTCACATGAGGGGGGGAGTCTTCCTGCCTCCCGCATCTTCCTCTCGAGAGGAACTACAATAGACCATATGTTTTGCTTGCCCAGATATCGACTGGTTGGATAGAGATGGGAAGATGGAAATGTTCGCAAACCAAGCTATTACTACTTCTAATCTACATCCCCACACAACTATACCCCAAGTTCCTTGATCATCATCGACAACTCGTCGATATTCCCAGCCTTTATATACTCCGCTACCCGACATCTACCCGGAATGCGCGCCGAAGCCTGACCCTAATCTCGATGATCACCAACGAATCGACTCCCCGTAATAAGTGCGTGATAAACTCTGTACCTTTTCTCTCATTCATCGGCCCTCCAAATAACACAAAATGTGCATTCCTCTCAGTCAATACATCTACTCTACTATCCTACCAGTGACGAGACGCTATGCCCCGCTCAAATATTAAGCATCAGACCCTCCGGTGTCTGATCATCAGGCACGGCGTAAATGCCGTGGCCCCAGTCCAAATGGTCCACGAACTCATTCCAGTCCGAACATAGCCAGCTGCACAGGATGCAAACCAGATGCCCGTGTTCCGGAAGATGTGGATGCCACCTCTCAAGATGGCGCATCAACAACGGGCGAGAATTAAAGTTCACCGCACACACAGGACAGCACCGGGCCAGCTCGGGATGGGTACTTCGCCGATGTAACCGGAGTCGCTTGCTCGTGTGGTAAGACACCTTACACCTGTAACACCAATAGAATTGAGTCTCGTGCATAACCTGGTGATGCTGCCGTAAGGCCGCAGTATCGCTCGCGACATGGCCACAGGTGTTGGCGCTCGCATTTCCATCACTGTTGCGGTCCCCGTTCGCATGCGCATCCCCGTTCGCAGCTTCCGCATTAGCAGCATTAGCAGCATCAGCACCAGCACCAGCACCAGCACCAGCACCAGCACCAGCACCAGCACCAGCACCAGCACCAGCACCAGCACCAGCACCAGCACCAGCACCAGCA